TAATACATTTTTCTACTATTTTATACATATAACCATACCTTTATAAATTAATCCCCAATGCCCCAACTCGTTCCACCATAGAACCAGGATTGTGATTGATTTAGTCACGTGATGTCACTGTAGTTTTAAACTTTTATATTTTAATATTCAATTATAAATTAAAATAAAAATATTTAGATCTTAATAAAAGACTGATAATTTGAAATTAATTTTTTTTATTTATTGTGTGTTGTATATATATTTTTATTTGATTATGATTAATTTAATAATTTAAATTTTATATTTTTAAATAATTTTAAATATCGTAATAATTTTATTTTTTAATATAAATAATTCAATTACTCTATCTAAAAAAAAATTTAATATGAATAAAATTCAATTATTTTATCTAATTAAAGTATTTTAAAATAATAAAAGTTAAATGACGTAATTTAAATTTTTCTAAAAGTTTTAACTGTTTCCTCCAAATACAACCTTTTTTTTTTATGGAAGAAGACAAAATTTAGTTTGTTTTTTTTTTTTGCTTAATTTGATGTTTATTTAAATAAAGAAAAAATTAAAGGAAAGAAAGTTTGAATATGTTATACGGTCAATATATATATTTTATAATTTGAAGAGTTACTCATCACAAAAATATTTATAGATTACTAACTAGTAGATGAAATTGAGCTTAAACTTCATAAATTAAATATTCCAGTCACTGCTAGCTTAATAGCTCTATGTTATTTGTTGAACTTTAATCACTTTCAATGAATTAAAAAAAAATTGAAAACAAGACAGGCAAAATCACATCATAATTTAATGAATCGGTGGAACTCGCAAAATCTACGAACATAGCTTATCTTTAATTTCACAATCAATAGTTAATATTTGACTCTATAAAATGATTAAGAAAGTGTAAACAGTAGAGAATAAAAATATTTACATTACATACTTTTTCACTTTAAAATAATAATTTTATATTAACATTATAAAATGTTAATAAGTATTTTTAAGATATTTATTTAAAAATAAAAATATAGAATACAAGTACTTTATTTAAAATATATCATATTATTAAAATATAAGTAATTATTTGGCGTTAAATTAAATATTTATAATCTCTAAAATATCTCAAGTTTAATATACATACTTATTAAAATTATATTATATAATTTAATAGTTAAATTAATATTTTTTTATAAAAAAATTAACTATATTATTTTACATATTTTAACACTTGATATTAATTTATTTTATGTTACAATAATATATTAGATATTTTGAAGATACTTGTTACTAAAATTCTAATATTCATCGGTTTATAATATGAATTTAATTAAATATTTTAATAGTTTTTTTTAAAGTATTATTTGATAATGAAGAATGATAATTAATTTTTATAATAGTACTTGTTATGTTACCTATAAATTTGAAAAGGTATTTGACAAATTGATAGTTGTCATTTTTTAAATTAAAATATATTTATATTTTTTCTAAATATATCACTAATTCCAATTATTTATCTATATATGTAATATAAAACCAATAATGATAATTATTTTACACTTGAAAGAATATACAATATCCTATTAATTTATAAAGTATTAAAAAAATTACCTTTTATAATAATTTATTTAAAATTATATTATTAATGTATTCTAATTAAATAATAGAATAAAATTTTTTACACTAAAAATATATTTAAATTAAATTCTTATAATATATTAAACCTGTTGCATAGAATGTGATGTTGAAACTTTAGTGGCTTGATCTATAGATAAAAGTATTGATTAAGAAATAAAAAATGAAATTTTTTTATCAAAAAATATAATGAATATATTTTTTTATGATTTTTAATATAATTAATCATAATTTTTAATAAAAATATTTTTTATATTTTAATTAATGCCTTAAAGACGTTGTTTAGCAGTACTCTAATCAATATATCTTTTAGTCACATTATTATTTTGTGTTCCCATGTTACCTTTTAAATCTATCTATCTTTCATTGATTTTCTTTCTTGTCGACATGTTGTCTCATTGATTTTCTCAATCATAATATTCCAATTACTAAATGGGCGAGCATACACAACTTAATTTCAGTAGTGACTCAAATAAATGATCATAAAATTTATTAATGGGATAAAAGTTTTACATGAAAAATAATGATATTAATTGTACAATAATGTTACTTCTTTTCAAAGTTTCGGTATTGGGCGTAAAATGTTCTCTCAGGTCAACTCGATTAATTAATTTGTGAGATATAAATTGCAAGGAAGAAGCATAGATCTTCCAGAATACGTTTAAGCACAAGATAGAACAATAAACAAGGTATTTATTTATTTATTTAGTGTGTAATGGGACAAAAACTATAAAGAAACCTTTTCTGACCATTGTATCTACAATGAGAAGATTGCTGTTGGCAAAAATACATATTCCTTTCATTTCCTTTTAGCTAAAGAAACCGAGATTCGTCAAGGCGCGGCCCTTTCAATTTTTTAAAAATAAATTGGAAACCACCAATTGAGGATTCTAGTTATCTTGAGCTTTGATGCACCATTCTGTCGTCCATCAATTGCGAAAAGTGAACAAAAGAATAAATCAGGGCACATACACACACGCACACACACCTTCCATCTTCCTCCACTGATCTGTCGACGCTTACACTGGTCAATTGTGCTACAATAGAAACACTTTCCTAATTTCAATTTTTTTCTTCTTAACTCTTCCATTCATGGAAATAAAAAAAAGACTAGTCAATTCCTACACACCCGAATGAAGTATAAGCCTTTGGACAAGACATATTTAATAATTGTTTTCCCAACGACACAAAGTTAACTATAGAGAATCTTGCCATCCTTTCCTTTAAGTGCAATTTGTGAGGATGTTAACTATGTTCCAAGACCTCACTGGCTCATCACCCTAGCATGTTGATTCCACTTCCACTTGTGCATCTGGTACCCTTTTTCCACGCTAAATATATGCACCAGGAACTTGGGAACGATTGGACCCTCATTTTTCCAAGTCATTAGGAGGTCACTTAACATATATACTAAAGTCAAGTTTTGGACCGTCTCAAATGGGAAGAGTGAAACTGGCTGGCGATGACTGCGCCTGATTATTACCATAAAAACAGTTTCAGTCAACTACTCCCCAATAGGTCCCACACTGAAAATCCCTTCACCGTTCATTTTGCCCTTCATTGCTTCCCGTTAATATGTAAAGGCCTTTAGCTACCCCATTTTCAGATGCCAAGCCAAGCCAAACCAAACCAATCTTTTTAGCTTCACCCTTTCTATTCGGGAATAAGCACTTCAAGGTTCTTCAAGCCTTGAAGGTGCATCAACACTTGTGCCAACTCAAGAATGAGGCTCTATACTTTACTTCTAGTGGTTTTCACGGTTCTGGCTGCCACAACGCCAAGGCTTGTAGACTGTAGAGTCCTTCACTCACCAACAAAGACAGAGAAGCCCTCTCATGAACTTCTCAAAGTTCTTCAATATCTCAGGACTTCTGTGATGACAGAAAAGCCCAACCCTGAGGATAATGGTAGCAACAGGGTTTTGATTGAGAACCAATACAACACCATGTCTTCAGGGCCAAGCAGAAGAGGTTCGGGTCACTAGCACAATGTTTCAGTTAATGAGTATCGTTGGCTTTTCATTACTTTACGGTTGGATTCATATGATAGAGCATATTTGTACATGGACTATATATATATGGGAAGTGTAACTTCTGTCTATAAGGTATTCAGGTGTTGATTTTTTAGAAGAAAAGTATATTGGGAAAAAGAAAGCGAATTTGGCACAGTGTATGACAATTTGCAAGCTTGTAATATGATGAACATTCACAAAGTTCTTGCATTGATAGTATATAGAATGGTGCGCTATTTGAATTGCAGTAAGATTGATTTTTAAGTTGACTAGTTTAATTGTTTATTAAGAAGTCAAGGAGTGAATTTCAACATGTATCTGATGGTTTAAAAACTCCTAACACTCCATATATCTTGTAAACTTTAGTAATTTGCTAGGCCGGATCGTAAATATTGATGTTATAATAAGTTGAATAAGGTGCCACCAGTACAACCATGTGTGGCTTTAGCAAGACTTTTTGGATTTGGGATGTGAAATGATTTTCATGTCCCTAGTGAACTTTACCTTCCCGGACATCCTAAAAAAAAGGTTATTATAAATCTCAACTCTATCCCTTGGAAAGAAAAAGGTAGCACCGAAGAAAGGAAAGACCGAGATGGTTGTTTTTGTTGTTCCCGCGAAGCGAGTAGAAACTGGAAATTGGGTGCTTTATGGTCTCATGGCACCTACACTGTATCAATCCGGTAAGTTCAAATGAGGTTGGTGACTAATATCGTGTTTAGATTCACATTCAAACATCTATAGATCTAAGTTTATTTTAATTCTATTAATTGTAACTTCTGGTTAGATCTTTTTTTAAATTTTTAATATGTTTCTAAATACACACCAAGCAAACTGCCAAACCTATCAAAATCAAAGGGCTTACATTTTCACCTGTAGATAAACTTTAAGGTATATTAATTGTACATGCCATGGCCAATTTTCTGCTTTCTAGGAGGAAAAAAGTTGCACAACTTGTAGTTGGTTACCAAAATATGAGGAAGTAGTTGACTAGCTTATTGTGTTATCCAACCTTCACTTTGGAAGTCAATAAATAATTTGAAAGTCTATTCCTGCATCAATTTGTCCCCGCAGAAGACTTTCGAATTTAATTACGATTAAAACTTCATGGTGCTTCGACGAAATTGTAAGATATCAGATCCCCTCTACTTCAATTCAAAATGAACCCCATTCTAGTATGATTCCCAGTCGTATTGTGCATTTTATTCCGAAATTCCAAGTCGCCTAGTTCTAATTCTAATTTCATTTATTTTTCTAGCTTTATAATTTTTGCATTTAGTTCCTCTCATTACTCTAACTGCAAACAAGAAACGATGATTAAAAAAAATGATAAAATGAACTCCAAGGACAAGAGAGTGGTTTACTCGAACTACAGATGATAATAGAATTAGTGAGTACAAGGATAAAAGTTTGAACAGTGCATGCTGATAAAATCAATATAACGTACTAATACAACAAAAAATCAGACAAGAAGAAATGATACTGCGTAGCCGTACTATCTATGGTTACTAAGTATGGCTTAGATAAACCAATTTAAAATAGTAATACATTTCAAGCAGCATCACCAAATAAGCATTTCACCTCTTTCCGCGTACATGACTAAACAGGACGATTTGATTACATCAATTTAACAATCAACATCATGAAATTGTTACAGTTAAATTAAGGGGCAAAAAGTATAATTACCATGAACCTTTTTCTCCAAAAGAAAAGAGACGAGAAAGAACGAGCAACGGAGAAAATAACAACTAAACTCTAGCAAGAACATAGCATCTGCGATAAGCAAGCTGCTTTTTACCGGGGCGTCACTTCCTGCACCGCCCAAGAGACATCATTCTTAGTGACCTCCTAAGCCATGAAATACACACGCCAGTTTCCTTATCTAAGCTCTCGTTAACCTAGGGAGCACAAGTGTAGTTAAACATTCAAAATGAATGTATTTGGGTATGATTGGCTTCCAAGTATCGTAAGTTATTATTCAAAAGAAAATATTTGAAGGCTAAGTTGAATATATAACCAATTAAGAAAACCAGATGCAGAAAGCAAACTTTGGACGGAGCCATGATTCCATTTCTAAATTTTTGAACGTGTTTGTCGAGAAGTAGTTTATTTAAGAGTTTGAAGTTTTTTTTTTCAGACTGCAGATATTTATCTGTTATCTGTAGTAGTTTATAGCTAATTTTTTTATTAATAAATTTATTTGATAAATAAAAAGTATATAATTTTTATGAAGAATTTGTAGCTTTTAAAATCTAACTTTTAATACTTTTTTTATTAACATTTTAAATAATTTACATTTACACAAAATAATTTTAATGCTTTATTTTTAATCATTTAATACATTTCAGTTAGTTTTATTAGTAACTCTAATTGAATCAACTAATTATAAATTATAAATCTTGAAGAAGCTTATTAAGTGACAGACTATAAAAAGCTAATTTTATGAAATAGATCTTTTGTCCTGACCCTGGCTCAGTTCTTTTCTTGGCCACTCTAAAGTCATTAATGCTGTGGCCCCTCCAAACCAATCCTAAGTTTGAAGTAGACTTCAGTTTCCTAGATTTTAAACACAAGAAGCCCATTTTTTTTACTTCAAATTTCCTCTTCACAGAAACTTACTGCGCAAAGGATTCCCATCGCTTCTAGCCCAAGTAGGAAAGCATTTTATTAGTACAAGTTTTTCTCATGAAAAAGCACCCAGTTTGTGTACTTCAAGGTATTGGATTGGTTAGCATTCATCACTATGGTATTCTGGTTACTGGTAGACAAAATATAGGGAAATATATTCAGTAGCTGCTAGGGCAACGGTGCCACTCTCTTCTCCTTTGTACAAGGTGATTTGAATGTCACAGATACATCAAAAAAGGTAAAGAAAACGGAAGCATGTATTGTACTTCGCATTGTTTGCTGCAGAGTAGTATATCCATTTATGCAAGTATTCAAACACAAGTGCAGCAGCAGTATGTGAATTAACTAATTATCAATAATCTATTGCAAGCATAGGAATGGAAAAATCATTATTGGTTTTACAACTGCCTGCATAACTTATTTAAACGAGGATAAACTGATAATCAAATTCAAAACTACGGCAAGAGGAAATTATAAAAAGAAGAAGAAAGCAAGTTTGAAAGTTGAAACATCTAAGCAAGCTATCCTAAAAGCAGCTACTTTACATGGACACCTGAGAATAGGCAATTGTGCCTTGAAAGGCTTGATATTCTACCTGGCATCATCAATTTTCAACTGAGAGAAAACGGAATCTGCTGCACTATCTGATTCATCAACCCTCACAATGGACGAGTCATCCACTTCACTTAGAGTGGAGAGTGAAGGAAGGCGCCTAACATTGGGCAATTGAAGTGATGCAGAAGCACTGCTTGAACTATCCTCATGAGGCTCTCTTTGTATAGCATTTGCTCCTCTCTGAAGCTGCAGTGCATACTCCAAGTCCCACAACACATCACCCATGGTTGGCCTATCAGAACCATCATCTTGTAAGCATTTTTCTACCGTCTCACTAAATTTTCTAAGTGAGTTCTGATCTATTTGGCCCTTGATGGAAAGATCAATGATGTCTTCGATTATCCCCTTGTTTTTGCAAAACATTCCCCACTCAGCCAAGTTTATCTGATCTCTAGGAAGCGACGGGTCAATGACTGGTCTTGCACATAACACTTCCAGAAGAACTACCCCAAATGAATACACATCAGATTTTTCTGTCAGCTGTTGTGACCTAAAATACTCAGGATCAAGATACCCAAAAGTGCCTTTAACACCAGTGCTAACATATGGTTGATGATCAAGAGGACCTGTCCTTGAAAGGCCAAAGTCAGCAACTTTAGCCACGTGGTTCTCATCAAGCAATATGTTAGTGGACTTCACATCACGGTGAATAATTCCACCAGCGGCTCCCTTGTGAAGGTAATGAAGACCTCTGGCAGCTCCAATACAAATTTCAAGCCTTAGCTTCCAAGACAAACTTGGCAAATTTGTATTATACAAATGGTCCCTGAGTGTGCCCTTCTCCATATACTCATAAACCAGTATCATCTCATACCTTTCATCACAATACCCAATTAAGGAAACAAGGTGCCTGTGACGAATCTTGGACAACACCATGATCTCTGTCTGAAATTCTGGAAGGCCTTGACCTGACCCTGGCTCACCCCTTTTCACAGCCACTCTCATGCCATTCTTGAGAACTCCCTTATAGACGTGGCCAAAACCACCCTTGCCAATTATCTGACTAGCATGGAAGTTCTTGGTTGCCAACTGAAGATCAAGCAAGGGAATTTTCAGCCCAAGATTTATGTGAAGAGGGGAGCCTTGGATGGTTCCCTCAGTCAATCTGCTGTGAGAACTTCCTCCTGCAGTCATGGGAACTGGCAACCAATCCGAGTTCTCTACGGGCTTTTGCTTCCTGATTTTAAGACGCCAAAGAAACCCAAGCACCGCCACCACCAAAATCAGGACCAAACCTCCAAGAATTGAACCCAGCACCAATGGAAGATTATTGTGATTGGATTGGTACAGGTACATGGGAACAGAATCTGAGGACTCAATCATTTTCATTATTTCTAGCCCATTTAAAAATGCATTCGGTTTGGAAACATTTGCAATAATAGGTGCTACACTGATCTTCATAAACCCAGATTCATCAGAGGTAACCACAAAATCATAATAATAAGGGGCAGGCACCTGACTAGATAAAATGGTGTCATTATTCACCGGCATAACATAGCTATCGTAAATGTACATAGTGAAAATTGTAAGAAAAGCCTGTTGATTCCAAAAGTCACAGAAGTGAAGGCGAAGGAGATGATCCGTGTTCTTCTCTACCGGCAGACTCCACGTGATGTTTGACAGGTTAGTGTTGTTGTTGATCTCTTTAGCAGTTCCGTAGACATCACTTGGTGCAGTAAATTTACCTGAGTTTGGACCATCAGAGTCATCACTCACATGGTACTGAATTTGACCTTCATAAGGGGTACTATTCTTAGCGTTTGCTGGATTCGTGAGATACCTATCATCTGTAATCCAGTTTCTGAGTAAATTATCATGGTCCCTTGCGACTGGTTGGCCACCGACATTAAGCCTGTGTCTGGTCTCTAACACCCGAGTGAGCAAACCACTGTAATAATTTAAGCCTAAGGGACGGCGATTATAATTGAAACCCGTGACATCATTTGCGATCAAAAGGAGGGGCAGTACAAATAGTTCTATAGCATTCACAAACGCAAATGATGATGACAGAGGTCTGAAGGTGATTCTGATGCTGGAGGCAGTGCTTTTCATGAAAAACTCTTTTATTAAAACAGAGTTGTTAGTACCATTGCTGGCATCGAAATTTTTCAACAGCCAGAACCTAGGAATGGAAACGTTAAACCTAGCAGAGGAAAGATTACTCGAGGAAGAGAAAGCGAAGAAATGGAGGCGTAGCAGGTAGGTGCCGTTTGTCTCCGTGCTGAACTCATACCAAGATTCATTTTTAAAAATCCTTGCTGTTTGGTAGAGAGGAGAAGACACGGATGACTCACTGCTCTCTGTCTTGCTGTTGGTAAAATGCGTTGCAGGGTAGTCAGGGTTTGATTCACCAACATAACCCTTACCACTTTCAGTAACATCGCTACTTGACCCACAATTGATGAAGTACTTATCTGGGAATTTGTACCCGAGTGAAGATGAAAACTGAAGAAGAAAAACAAGTACTATAAACAGAGAGTGTTGAATTGTATGGAGCTGAAGAATGGCCATGGGAAAACAGTGCTTGGGGCTTATTTTCAGTTATGATTATTGCATCTTTGAAACTAGGGTCGGATGGGAAGAAGACTTGAGCAGAAGTCAAGTCGTCAGTTTTGATTTTTCTTCTGAAAGTTGATGTATCAACCACCGGAAATATTTGAGCCGTGAAAAATTGAAGTCTTGCTCACGGTAAAAGATGATTGGCTGAGACTTGATTATTTGTCCATAACCAATTGCCCAAGCTGGTATCCTTGTACATATTTATTATAATAATAAATATCAAAATATTTCAGTGAATGAAGTAAGAAGGGTGCTAATAAATAATAATAGAGCCAAATGGCAAGGCAATGGAGTACAAATATCTCTCAAAAGGGATGCAAATTTTCTCGAGTTTCAGAGGCACACATTTTGTCCTGGCATTCTTGGAAAGGAATAGAGCAGAAGTTCAACATTCCAGAATCCAGAGGAGAGAGAAATGTCATTATTGCCAGCGTGTGAGCTGAATTACTAAACTAAGTAAAAAACAAGAACTCGTTAACTAGTCGAACAATGGATTCATAGATTAGAATCTACTGGCCTGTTTGTTTTAACGTTGACCAACTTTAACGTTGTTTTAAAAGTTAAAAGACCCCAATAAATATTTACAGATAGGGACGGTAATGAGTAAAATATCTTGTAGGCATTCGTAAAATTTACCCACAATAGATAGAGTATTTATCTGCTATATGGGGATGGGTGCGGGTATGGTATCTAAGTACCCACCCCGCTTCATACCCGTATATATATATATATATATATAAAACAAAAATTTAATGTATAATTGTAGAATAAAGTTCAAGCATATATATATATATATTATTATATTATTTATGTGAAGTTATATAAGATTAATATAAAAATATATTTAATAATAAAGTAAACTGAAAATTTTATTTTGGTTTATATTTTTAATAAAAAAATTTATTTACTATTTTATATCATTTAATTAAGCTAATACAATTTAATTATTACATAGTTAATATGAGATTGATTTTTTTTTTAAATATTATTTATATATGATACACATAAAATATTTTCACACAAATATTTTTGTTAATAAAATCATATTGATGTTTAAATCATAAAGTGAATGATAAATAATAAATATATTGCAAATATTTTATAAATTTTACAATCACTTACTATTACCGTAAACTTATCATTTATTAATAATATTTAAATTTTATTTTTTATATTTTAATTTAAAATAATATTTTTCTTATGCAACATATGTATTACAAGTACAACTATAATCTATTAAATTTAAATAATATTATTCTTATTATTTATTCACGTTTAAAGAAGTTTTTGAAAAGATATAAATATAAAAAATTATTGTTAATTTTTATTTGTTAATTTTTTTTAATATACACATATATTTCTTTATTATAAAATTTTATTGTGACCATTTATCTTTTATTCAAATTCTTTCTTTTAAAATTTATATACATTATAAATATTTAATTCGTTAAAATAATTTTTTAAAGATTTGTATTTTTGATAAAATACTTTCATATAGTATATGAGTTAAAAGATACTAATATTAATATATATATATATATATATTATTTTAATTAAATCTATTATTTTTCTTACAATTTCAAATTCAAAAGTTAAAAAAAAATATTTTATGTATCCACTTTCTAATATTAGTATTGAACTTCTCTACTTTAACTATATTCTCATTCTCAATGTCTATCTCATTAAAATTTAACAACTATGAAACGTTATTCATTAGAGTTAGTTGTCAATACTATCACAAGAGGTGACCAAGTGATCCCACACGAAGACAACCATTGTGCAAATCTATTTCGTTATCGCTCTGACATTGCTAATCGATCAAATCTCACACCAGATAGGGTTATCACTGACAAATAACTTGTATGTTTAGTTTCGCTTATTATTTCTAAAAATTTTAGTTTAGAAAATTATTATATTAAGATACATTTAGCATTTATGATATTTGAATATTTATTTTTTTATCTATGTTTGTACCTTGTTCGACAACTATATATTAAATTTTTGTATTATTATGCTACTTATGTGAAGTTTTATAAACATATTTTTCTTTATAAATATTTTTTTCTTAAACAAGCGCGGGTAATGGGTACAAGATGGGTATGCGGGTACCCAGAAGGTACGGGTACGAAGATTAATATCCATACCCACGCGGGTATGAGGCCGAGTACGGATATTTTTTTAAAACGCGGGTATGGGGATGGGTACTATAGTACCCTACCCATTACCATCCCTATTTACAAATCGGATTTTACATCTTTCATTTTTTTTTTCATTTTTTAAGAATTGATTTTTACTGAAAACCAATTAGGCTCTATTTTTATTTTTATTTTATCTTTAAATAGATAAACAAAAACAAGAGGAGAAAATATTTAAATTAAAAAAGAATATATATATATATATATATATATATATAATATTACTTTTAAAATTTAAATTTCCTCTAATTTCTTGAGGTTCATTGCCCTGCTCGGATTATTTGCAAACTTTTATTATTTATTTACCTCAATTATACTTTTATTTACGTATAATTTTAGTTTTTTAATTTTAATTTCTTATATTTATTTTTTATATATTTCAAAATATTTAAATTAAGTTTGATATCCAAAATTTCATCTAATAACTAATAAAAAATAATATATTATTATTTATATAAATTTGCAAGGAATAAAATGATAAAATAAAATTAAAAAAGGTTTTTATTATGCTTATATAAATTAACATATTTAAAAATTTTAGATATTATTTACTAATCTATATAAATTAATAATATGTCATAATTTTATTTTATTGTTTTCTAATTATTGAATTATTGTTAAAACTATAAGAATAATTGGGCATAAAGTAAAATATAGGAAAAAATATAATTCAACATTTCTATTTGTATTTATTATGCTTGAAATATATTTAATATCTATTTTTATGTGAAATTAATAGATTTTTCTTTGAGTTAGTTTAATTACGGGAAAAAAACAAATTAACGTTATAAAAAGAGTCTGTCTTTTTATAGAAAATTTAAATTTGACTGTTGTAAAAAAGAAATAAAATATGATGTTTTAAAATATAAAATATTGTTAAAAAATCACTAACAATTGATTTATAAATTGTAAGATAATTTAAACAAAAATTTAAATTTAAATGCAACAAAAATAAAAAATACAGATAAAAAAAGAGAAAAAAAGTGTCACAAGAATGTAAGATTTTTTCCGTATGAGTTCTCTTATAAGGATAATTCTCAATTCTTATTCAAAACTTAATTTTTTTTTTCTTTTAAAGAAATTTTACATGAATATTTATAAAAAATAAAACTCTAAAATGTTTAAGTAATAAACAAGTATAATAACAATACTTTAAGTAAAACTTCTAAAAGACTTTTATAATTAAGTTCACTAAATATAATAAAATCTAAAATCTAAAAGAAACTTAATAACTAATCTGATCTAACCCACTAACCTAGAACGTAATAAACTACTCAATTAAAATATAAAGTTTTGTCTCAAAATACAAATAAAATTAAAAATTAGATTAACATAAATTGAATTTGGTTCTAATTTCTATAATTTTCAATTTGAATACAAAAATTCACTTTTAGATTCTTCTCTTCCATGTTTTTTTGACGTTTTAAATATCGTTGTCATCATTTTATTTGCAATTCATTGAACTTTTTTTTTTTTTTATTTTGTCATAGAACTTTCAAATTTTTGTAAGAGATCCATTCATTTGTTTCTTTTTTTTTTATTCATCATTTTTCTTTTTTATTGGTTCTCACTAATTCTTTTACAATAAAATTATACATTTATTGTAACAATCAAACAGCTACATATACTTTTTGTGTAACATAATTTTCTTTTTAAAATAAGATAAAATTAGTATTTTTGTTATTTAACTTTAGATCAAATTTGATTTTATTTTCTAACTTTAGGTTGATTCATTTTGGTATTTTAACTTTTAAAAATATTTTAAATATGACATTTTTTTGGTTAAAAACTTTAACTCTATTAAGATTTTTGTTTGTCTTTTTCTACGAGGCATATTGTTCTGCATTGTTCATCGTTTTGTTCTTTAGGTTTGTGCACTATTCATCATTTTTTCCTCAATGACAAAGATAAGAATTACATCTTCATAGTGCAACAAGTCCATGATTCTCGATTACTATTGCATCTTATAGCCAAAATCTTTTTCATAAGGATATCTTCTGTGCAACTGGCTAGATCCCTCCTACACAATTCATGAATGTCTTTGAGGAGGTTTACAAATTTGCAAGGGTTCAAACACTTATTGCTTTATGCAGTATATTTCTAGACTACTGGTTTACCATAGATTTCATTGATGCATTTGAAAGATTTGATATCTAATTGGTGGGTCTCACAGGGATCATAAGATAAGAGATGTATTCCTTGACTTTCTTCTTTGAATTTTTGGGCCTAATGTTACCACATTTGTTGTTCAGGTTAAGCTCTTTGCTACTAGATTCTGATCCACGAGCCATGAAATTTCATCCATAATAGGGAAGCTTGGGGATATAGTTGGTTTATTTGGGTTCTTGTATTTGGCACAAAACAAGGACAAAAGCAAATAAAATTAAAATATTCTGTAGCTATTGGTGTGAAGAATGCACTGGTTATGTTGTCTTGGTTCCTAAGGCAAAAGTAAATTATTGAAGGAGATATCAAGTGAAAATGATGAGGAAAGTGGAACAAGGGAAGAGCCAGAACAATCCCAATTTGAAAACAACATTGCGCATGTCTAAGGAAGAAAGCGAAATTAGAGATTTAAGGAAAAAAAAATGATTAGTATAAAATAGTACACGCAACAAAAAAATATTAAAAAATTAATGTTTTTAACAAAAAAAATAACTTATTTAAAATAATTTAAATTTTAAAAGACTAAAATGAATTAAAATAAAGTTAAAAGAAAAAAATAAATTTGACTCTTAAGTTGGAGGATGAAAATATTAATTTTGCCTATGATTAGTATAAAATAGTACATGCAGCAAAAAAAAATATTAAAAAATTAATGTTTTTAACAAAAAATAACTTATTTAAAATAATTTAAATATTAAAAGACTAAAATAAATTAAAATAAAGTTAAAAGAAAAAAAATTGACTCTTAAGTTGGAGGATGAAAATATTAATTTTGTCTGAAAATAATTATTTTTAAAATTTATATTTTAATTTTATTTTAAAAAAGTAAAGAATAATTATAGTTTTATTCTTTATAAATTTCAATTTTAGAATCAGTAATTTAGGGTTTTTTTTGTTTTTATTTTTAATTTTTAAAAAATTAAATTTTAAAATAATTTTTAAGAAAAGATAAAAATAAAACTTATTTGTTAATTTAGTCTTCATAACTGTTTTTAAGATGAGAAAATAAAAAGTAAAACCAAAACACTTTAAAGTTATTATTGTTTTTTAGTTTTAAAAATAAAAAATAAAAAATTAGTTTTAAAAATAGTTTATAAAAACCCATCTTATTAAACAATTTTTTAACTTTAAAAAAAGAAAATTATTTTTAAAAATAGAAAACAAACTAACCCTTTTTATACTTTCAATTGCTTTAATTAAATTTTCATATTTTTTAAGTTAAATATAAATTGTTCCAACGTTAATGTTTTATCCGATCACTAATTCATTGCCATGAATATCATTCATGAGTAGCGAAATACGATTTTTAAATATATTTTTATTATCAGATAAAATTAATTAAAGATTATAAAATTTATTTTTAATTAATAATTTTTATTTATAGTTTTAAAATTTTTAATAAATTTTAATAGTATAGTAAAAAGTATATTTCTAATAATTTTTTCAAGCATAATGAATTATATTTTTTAATATTATAATACAAGGATAAATTCTATATTTTTATTTTAAAAACTAATTTAGGCTGTCTAAAAGATGTAAGGTATTGCAGAAAAAAAAAAAGATGTAAGGTATTTGTGGTTAAAAAAATTTATTTTTTATTATATTACTTTTTACATGTATAATTGTTAAGGTTAGTATGAAAAACTTTAAGCAGAGTTTTTACAAAAAAAAATCCTCTATTATTTATTGGATGAAAATTAATAATGAAGTTACAATTGTTCAATTTAGAAAATATATAAATTTAATTAAAGAAATTAAAACTAGAGTATCAATAACTTAACCCTTAGTTTTAGGATGAAGTTTATAATGAGGAAGCAAAATTTTAGATAATTCTCACTTTAATTCTTGACATATGAAACTTGATTTAAGTTAGTGTTTTAAATTTAAAATTTTAATCTCTAAAATTAATAATCGTTAATCATTCTAATCTTTATTATTAAGAGATTTTAAAATTAAATAACAGAATAATGATTTGTCACATTAAAAAATTATAAAAATATATAAAATGATCATTTTAAAATTTTCTAGTAGTTTATTTTTCATTATTTACTTTTGAGATTGTCGGTACTAAAGTATTTTCTTCTTCCATCTTTTTTATTTCTCTTATTCTTTGGCCATCTCTACTACTTTCAACTACCACTTCCTATCATTAACGTTGTTGTTATCTGACCAAAATGTCGCTGACCCTCTTCTTCTTTCACTCCTAAGTCTTGCATTACAAATTACTTTACCATTTTTTATATTTTCTCTACTATTTCCTTTACCTCTAACCACCTTCTTTGTGGTTGATGTTGTCATTTACCCAAAATACAATTCTCTTCTTCTCTCACTCTACTTCTTTACTTTCGTCTCCAAGCATTTGGTTTGACATAGTTATAGAAAGGTAAACATTACGGATGCGGTGACTAAAAAAGAAAATGTCACATAAGAATATGAACTAAAAGATAGAAAAAGAAAAAATAATATTATTATTTAAAAATCTTAAACCTCAAAGATAAAAAAAATAAAATATTTTTAAAAAAAATCATAAAATAATATTATTTTATATTATTTCACACTCAATTTTATTGTTTTTTAATTATAGGAACTAACGTTTAAAATTTTAGAAATTAATATTTAAAATTTTAATTTTAAAAAATTGATTTAAATGTTTAGTCGAAATTTTTTCTCTCCAGATGATCTAAGTTATATTAATCATTGATATATTATTTTGATTTATTATTCTTTATATTGAATGGTGAATATTATTTAACTGAATCTTGATAAAAAGGTAATTAATGTAAGTTTTTTCTTAACGTTTTATTCCTTGTTTTAACTGGATAATTGGAAACAAGTCTTGTTCATTTGAAAACAAAATGTAAGATTTTATTTTTCTATTATTCTACTTTATGAGCTGAGGTGATTGTTGTTCCTCTAACTTTTGTTATGAAAGAATGCGGCTTGGCTCAACAAGGTGATTTGATGACATAGATAGATGCAAATAAAGACAAAGTTCATTTCTCTTTCTTTGAGCATAGCTAATAAGGCTTTTATTTGCTTAATTCAAATTGTTTATCTGTTATCAAGTTTTATATGACAATTGGACTTATCTTTATTGAATTATTGGGGGTGTTTGTCATATTGAGTAGATGCATGTCAATGTCGCCAGTTTATTATTTCTGTTGGAAAGTAGAATGATAATAAACCGGTAGCTTGCTATTTTGTAGTTAAGGGTATGGTCAGCTGCTTAGTTTCAAGTGTAAATAATTATTGGGTGGTCACTTTCAAATGTTGTTTTTTCATTTATTATCAGTAAGATAATAAAAAATGTGCATAGTGAATGGTTTACTGACTAAAAGTTTCGGAAGTTCACGACGACGACAATTGTGATATATATATATCCTCTTCCGTAAAAAATATTTCAACAAACTTTTAGGCTCTATATATTGTTTTTGACTGGTAATTTTATATCTAATTTTTTGTAAGATATTTGTTTGTTAAACTCTCAAATGTTACTTTGAATTTAATTACTGCATACCTGATATCAACTGAATAATTTCCAAGTACACAGACTATCCTTTATCCTATTCGTATCATATTCACGAGCACTATTCTTGTTCTCATTGAATACATCAGATACAAACGCGGAATTATTTAATTGCTAATTACTTATATTTTGAAAAGGCATAATAATAAGTTTGCATTTTAGAAAAAGACAATCCACTTTTAGCAACTAGATGTTTTTTTTATACAAAGAGGAATGATTCATAGTATCTTTCAATTCAAAGGTTTACAGAAAAGGATGATTCCCGTTTATGTTGTATTCTTCTGGTCTAATCTTTGACTCAGGAACATGGAGATAATAAGTATTTGTTTCTAAGGACATCGGATTAAATGAGTTTTGTTTAGAAATTAAAAGAGAAACGTTCATTTTACATATTAGCTGGCAGCGATTTATATTTTACAATCCTAACTAAGGTTTCTTGTAGGATATTCGGTATCCACCATTCCCGGAAACAATAGCCACAAAAAACTGGGGATTGTTGAAGATGAACCTTCAAGAACTTGTTTAGTTCATATAACTAATTTTTGAGCGGAAGTTGATGCTTTTAATTTTTGCTACCTTAGTATTTGCAACAGGAATTCGTATACTTGAGCTTTGGTTATGTTCAATGAGTTTGGGTTGCTTCTTAACTAATTTGTTTAGGTTATTATTATAACCGGCATATGCTTCAGTTATACATTCATTTGATGAAGTCTTGAACTAGGTTTCTACGGTGGATACTTTAACTAAGTAATGATAATTTAAAGTGTATTTGATTGGAGGAAAATAAACAAGAATGAAATGAAAGAGAGGAAATTTTTAAATTTAACTTTGTATGGTTAAAATATTTTGAAGGAAGAGAAGGTAAAATAAGGGAGCTAAAATTCCTCCACTCTCATTTACCTCCAAAAATGAGAATATTTGGAAGGAAGAAAAGTGATTTTTATTACGATTACACATCCACGAATTTATCTAAATTTTTATATACAAAATTATTAAGATAATTCTATTCATCTGTCTATCTATGGAGAGAAAAGGTTTTTTCATGATCATCTATGTTGATAAAAATAAATAAATATCCTTGATGATCATCAATGTATGACATACAACACATCACAAAAATCCTATTCTTTTATCATGGATGAATTTATGTATTGTATAGGTTTATAAATATATGCTAAGTTTTAAGAAAAAATTATTTTGTTGATAATAAAAATGTAAATTAGGATATAAAAATATAAACATTGGATGTTCAATTAGTAAATCATCAAGAATTAATTGATAGGAAAATGTTTGGACTCAAGTTTTCCAATATGTATTATAATGAATGACTTTACGAAGAATAATTATAACCTAATATATGTGTCCTTAATTAATATGCAGTAAGCCTTACTAACAATTATAAAAATTTTACTTTATTTTAATTTAGTGTTTCATTTTGAAAAATTTGCCCACAAATACCAAATTCCAACTATTCAGCATTATCAACCAGCCGAGCTTCTCTCCCGAACAAAATTTGCCTACATTTTAATCTTCTATTTGCCATCTCAATTTGGGAATTACTTACTATGGCTGGAAGGGTTTGAATTTGATATTGCGTCAGCCTCATCATGATTTTTCATTGGATATTGCTGCACCATCGAATTCTTCACCCCACACAATGGACGAGCCATCCACTTCGCTTAGAGTGGATAGTGAAGGAAGACACCTAACATTGGGCAATTGAAGTGATGCAGAAGCACTGCTTGAACTATCCTCGTGAGGCTCTCTTTGTATTGCATTTGCACCTCTCTGAAGCTGCAGTGCATACTCCAAGTCCCACAACACCTCACCCATGGTTGGCCTATCAGAACCATCTTCTTGCAAGCATTTTTCTACCGTCTCACTAAACTTTCTTAGCGAGTTTTGATCAATTTGGCCCTTGATGGAAGGATCAATGATGTGATCGAGTATCCCCTTGTTTTTGCAAAACAATCCCCATTCAGCCAAATTCACCAGCTCCCTTGGAAGCGATGGGTCAATGGCTGGTCTTGCGCACAAAACTTCCAGAAGAACTACCCCAAATGAATACACGTCAGATTTTTCTGTTAATTTTTGCAACCTGAAATACTCAGGATCAAGATACCCAAAAGTGCCTTTAACATCTGTGCTGACATATGGTTCAAGATTAACTGGACCTGTTCTTGAAATGCCAAAGTCAGCTACTTTAGCCTCGTAATTCTCATCAAGCAATATGTTGGTGGACTTCACGTCGCGGTGAATGATTCCCCCAGCAACTCCTTTGTGAAGATAATGAAGACCTCTGGCGGCTCCAATGCAAATTTCAAGCCTCTGCTTCCAAGATAAGCTTGGCAAATTTGTATTGTACAAATGGTCTCTCAGTGTCCCTTTTTCCATGAACTCGTAAACTAATATCATCTCACCTCTTTCGTCACAATACCCAATTAAGGAAACAAGGTGTTTGTGACGAATCTTGGACAAAACTATGATCTCCGTCTGAAATTCAGAAAGGCCTTGACCTGAGTACCCTGACTCACTCCTTTTCACAGCCACTCTCAGGCCATTTTTTAGAACTCCCATATACACGCTGCCGAAACCACCCGTGCCAATTATTTGATTTGCATCGAAGTTGTTTGTTGCCAATCGAAGATCAAGCAAAGGAAGTTTGAGTCTAATATTTATGGCGTGAGAACTCCCTCCAGCAGTAACGAGAATTGACAGTGGATTGGAATTTTCAACGCGCTTTTGCCTTCTGATTTTAACAGGCCAGAGAAACAGAAGCACCATCACAACAAATATCATGACCAAACCTCCAAGAATTGAACCCAGCACCAATGGAAGATTATTGTGATTGGATTGCTCCAGGTCCATGGGAACAGAATCTGAGGACTCAATCACTTTCATTATTTCTAGCCCATTTAAAAATGCATTCGGTTTGGAAACATTTGCAATAATAGGTGCTACACTGATGTTCATAAACCCAGATTCATCAGAGGTAACCACAAAATCATAATAACAAGGAGCAGGCACCTGACTAGATACAATGGTGTCATTATTCACTTGCATAAAGTAGCTGTCGTAAATGAACATATTGAAAATTGTAAGAAAAGCCTGTTGATTCCAAAAGTCACAGAAGTGAAGGCGAAGGAGATGATCCGTGTTCTTCTCTACCGGCAGACTCCACGTGATGTTTGACAGGTTAGTGTTGTTGTTGATCTCTTTAGCAGTTCCGTAGACATCACTTGGTGCAGTAAATTTACCTGAGTTTGGACCATCAGAGTCATCACTCACATGGTACTGAATTTGACCTTCATAAGGGGTACTATTCTTAGCGTTTGCTGGATTCGTGAGATACCTATCATCTGTAATCCAGTTTCTGAGTAAATTATCATGGTCCCTTGCGACTGGTTGGCCACCGACATTAAGCCTGTGTCTGGTCTCTAACACCCGAGTGAGCAAACCACTGTAATAATTTAAGCCTAAGGGACGGCGATTATAATTGAAACCCGTGACATCATTTGCGATCAAAAGGAGGGGCAGTACAAATAGTTCTATAGCATTCACAAACGCAAATGATGATGACAGAGGTCTGAAGGTGATTCTGATGCTGGAGGCAGTGCTTTTCATGAAAAACTCTTTTATTAAAACAGAGTTGTTAGTACCATTGCTGGCATCGAAATTTTTCAACAGCCAGAACCTAGGAATGGAAACGTTAAACCTAGCAGAGGAAAGATTACTCGAGGAAGAGAAAGCGAAGAAATGGAGGCGTAGCAGGTAGGTGCCGTTTGTCTCCGTGCTGAACTCATACCAAGATTCATTTTTAAAAATCCTTGCTGTTTGGTAGAGAGGAGAAGACACGGATGACTCACTGCTCTCTGTCTTGCTGTTGGTAAAATGCGTTGCAGGGTAGTCAGGGTTTGATTCACCAACATAACCCTTACCACTTTCAGTAACATCGCTACTTGACCCACAATTGATGAAGTACTTATCTGGGAATTTGTACCCGAGTGAAGATGAAAACTGAAGAAGAAAAACAAGTACTGTAAACAGAGTGTGTTGAGTTGTATGGAGCTGAAGAATGGCCATGGAAAAAAATAAAATAAAATAAAATAGTGCTTGATGATTAATCTATGCTACGATTAGAGCATTTCCAAAAACTAGGGGCTCGGAAATAAAATGCACATGAATTCGGATGAGAGGTACACTAGACTATTAGAGGTCAAGTCTTCATCTTTGGATTTTTCTTCTTCTTCTTCTTTTTGTCAATTTAATTTATAGCTTAAGGGAATTATCTGAGCCATGCAAATTGGAAGTCATGCTCGGTTCAAAGATATTCTTTCTCTAACATCTTTCTTACATTAGATTTTTTCTCTCATATTTCTCATTTTTTTTAAATTCAAATTTGATAAGAATTCAAAATCAACTTATTTACCCAATTTTTTGGATAAGTTATACAGGCATCTTTTGTTTTAACAAATATTATTAATTTTTGTGTTATTTTTAAATGAGAGTATTTATATGAATACTTTGAATAGTAACATTTTCAATAAATATTCCTTTTCTTTATCGAGACATATAATTATTTTTATATTATGTATTTTATTTTTAATTAATATTTTAAGTTTTTTATACATTTTTAAAATCGAGAATGATTTTTAATAATTTTTTTAATATTTTATATACTTTTTAGAAATTTATTAAATTTTAAAATAGTCATAAATTATATGTTTAATTAATTATTTTAAAATTATATCAACGATACTCATCTAATACATGAAAATTACTAATTCTTTGTAAGAAATGTGAGAGAATTTATATTTAAAAAATTGTTAATTTTATAATAAAATCAAACGTAAAATTAAGATAAAAATTTTAAAAATAAAGATAATAAAAAATTAAAAAGAAAGAAATCATCTTAATTTCATTATTCACAGACTTAATGCACGTGGATATGTCTTTTTATAGGATTAAGTCTATAATTTAGAAGTAACATTTTAAGTATAAATTAAATAAAGAAGTTACAATCTTTAAAGCTTAGAAAATATAAAATAATTAAAAACTAGACATTCATTCGTAACAATTCACAGGAGTCAATCTTATTAGAAAAAATTTTGTGGAACACAAATCTAATAAAAGAAAAGAGTACGCCATTATTTAATGTTATTAAATAATGCTTCATTTAAAATTTTGTTACGAAAACTAAGTGAAAAAAATCATTCTAGAGAAAAATAAGTGTAAAACGTATTTATTTCTTTTATTATACAGATAATCATTTTTAACATGACAAAATTTAATTTTGTGAATTAGTTGACCAAAGGTTTTATATGATAGTAACTTTGTAAAAATATATATAGATTTTCACATAAACGAATTTGTTAAACATTTAAATCTTCATTCTTTTAAATGTCATTGATAAAAAAAAGAATTTTAGTGAAATATATTATTTTTTTATCACCTTTTAATATACATTTTTTTCAATTGAGTAATACATGTAGCATTATTTTAATATGTGATTGACAGGGTCATTTTTTTTTAAAAGAAATCACAAATTTCTCACATATGTTGAATTACAAATCTAAATCAAGTACATTCTTTACTTGCTTATCATAATGCTAAACTTTTAGCATAATTAGATAATGCATTCATTATAGTTTATTTCATATATCGCTATGCAATGGTTATATCACCATATGTGAACGATTAGCATGTTTATGATCTATCATTTTGAGAGTCAAATAAATAACCAACATTTGCATAATTAATAAAGTCTAATTTTGGTAAATTTAAGTAAAATAAACTCATATCCATTATACTTTTAAAGTAGCAAAATATATGTTTCACTTTATTCCAATCCGTTCTTGTAAGTGTGTATCTTGCTAACAATTTAATTACAAATAATATATCACGCATATTTGACAAGCAAAATAAACTAGTGCTTCAATTACACTAAGATAATACACTTATAACCACAAAGTTCTTTATCTTTTTTCTTTATGTTTGAAAAAAATCTTTGTTAACATATAGTGACCTTACAATTATTGGAAGACACAATAGATGTGATTTATCTATATATAATCATTTTAACACCTCTTTCATAAATATTTTATTGTCTACATATTCAAGTTCTGATCCAACACAAAACTTTGTCTTTACAATAATGATAATAATATTTAAATCATTGACATAAACAATTGTCACATCTTTTCATAAAAATTCATGGACAAATGGGATCATTTTTATATCCTTTTCTCACAAATATTCACTAAAGTGATTATACGACATGTACCAAATTGCTTTGGTCCATATAGTGATTTATTTAATTTGATTGAATAATTTTTTTTAGAATTTGAATTGTATGATTTTAGAAAATTAAAAATTTTAGGTAGTTTTTTGTGGGTAAATGAACCAATTAAAAAGTAATAAACGAGTTTTAAAATAGTTTCTAAAATATCGTCCCACAAGGATTGTTTTAAAATACCAAGAATATCTTAGTTCAATTATTTGAACTCAAAGAATGTAAAATTAAATAAAATAAGAATTTAAATATAAAATTAATTAAAAGAAAATTAAAAAAGAACAACCTATAACAATAAATTAATAAAGATGAAATATAGGGCACATGCTTTCACATTTACAGTTTTCTATATTTACTTTTAAACTAATTCTAGTGCTAATTTCTTTATTATTGTCAACTACTCGTATTAAATTCATTAACACTCAATGGTCATACAATGTTAATATTCTTTTACCTAAGTTATTGCCCTCAACGGTTATGCAAGATAAAATGAACAAAAAACATAAAGAGCTTACAAGTTATTAATTTGATAATGATTGAAAGAGAAGAATTAAGTTTGGTACACCTAATTCTTTGTCTTATTTTACTCTATAGATCAATTAACTATATGTGGTACGATCTCTTACAATATAGTTAATTATGATATGTTTAAGAGTTGTCAATTATGAACATATAAATATAGCGCAATAAGATAAACATTAATCAATAGAGGAAACTAAAATTATCATTAATCACATAGAACACATAAAGTTATGCAAAAGGTCTACTATAACCCTAATTATGGATTTAGCTAAACCTAATGAAATAAGAAATTAAAGTAATAATAAACCAATCTGTAATTATTTGAAAGTAAATGCAAACTAGAGGAGTCCCTAATGGAGATATGTTTTACTTCTAATAAAGTTATAGCCTTCAAGATTCTTTAAATAAGGTTTAGAATCAATGAGATGATGGTTGTTACCTCCAAGAGATATGTTTTATTTCTAATAAAGATATGACGTATCAGGAGAAAAAGATATGACTTGTCAAATTTAAAATTCAAATTCTCTCTTCATAGTTCCTTTAAAAATCTCTAAGTTAGATGTACTAGAAGGAGAGCACAATCATGCATGATCCTACTTATAGCTCGAAGCAACAACAATGGTTTTTCCTCTGGAATGGTGAGGTGCTCTTTTATTCTTGCAATTCACAATCCTTTTCTCCTTCTCACTTTGCCTCTACTTTTGCCACATCTTCCATCCACAAGCGTAGGCTCACATCTAAGGATCACACGCCTCTCTTCCCTCCCTCTTCCTTTTCTTCTACTACAAAAACCCTTGTTTTTTCCTACATCGAAGTTGCAAAGTTTGATCACTTGCCTGACTTGCTTTATGTGTTAGATTTGTCACTTTGGTAAACTCAATTACATTTTATGAGGGGTATAACGGGATTGAGACGTTTAGTAGAGATGTGTTAATCTTTCATGGCATAATTAAATATAGGTTTGTATAAGTTTTTGTTTTGCAAGTTTTGATTTTTTTTTAAGTTGTCCGTTTAGATCGTTGTTGACAACTAATTTTAGTGAAATTGCAGGAGATCAATGTGTTTTGAGTTTGAAACATTTGTTGAAGAAGTTCTTATGAAGGATATGGAATGGCCTCATAGAATCCTAAAGGCATGAAAAGGTTCATATGTGTGTCACGTGGATCTTAGGTGTAGGGTTTGTTGCACTTAATTTTATTAAGAATTAGATTATTCATACACTTTATGTAATATTAATTTTCTAAGGATTTGCATTTGAGATCTTGATGGAGAAGGAAGATATATTACTTGTGATATTGTTGATAATGTTGAGGCTTCTATATTTTATAAGGAGGGTATGTGTTAAAAAATGGTGGTGTTGGTAGGGATAAGGATGATGATTTTGTGAAGTTGTAAAAGGTGAAAAAGGAGAAAAAATGTTGGAAAAAAGGGAGGTTGAAGAAGATGAATTAATTATTAATTTTTAAAAATAAAATATTAAAAATAATGATGACTCGACAATAGTGAGTTGGATTTGCATTATACAACTCCCCAAATAACATTGTATAGTTGATTGTATGGACTAAATCTTCATAAGTTTTTTGAGGACTAATTTCAAAGGGCATTACTTTTATAAATACAAAAAAAATTAAACTTATTATATATAAATTATTTAAAATACGTTATTTTTAAGATTATTTTTTATAACTTTTTTTAATTAATATTCACATATGTCCAAGGATACTTATGAGTAATTGGTAAACTTGCATAAAGTCTATTTAACAAGTACCCACGAGTATGAAGAGTTAAGAAAATTGTTTAAATTTTAATACATAACAACAAAATATAACAGAAAGCAATTTTGATAATGATTGTTATTTATATAGTTTATATTTTTGTATTCATGAATTATTTTTCATCATATACCTGATCTTCTTCCTAGAATCATTCATATATTCTTTTTAGAATTACTCCTTTTAACAGCAAAAGGCCTATTGAAATTATTAACAAACACCATATCAAACATCTCTTACTCTATAAATTGATTAAGTTAGTACATGCAAGCTCTAACAACACTTCATTGGCAGTACATAAAGCATATTCTTATATATCTAAAAGGAACAATGTCTCGAAATTCTCAAATGCAAATTGGACTACAAATCTGGATGATAGAAAGTCTATAACAAGCTACTATGTGTTGCTAATAGGACTTCAATAAGTTGATCATAGATCGATGTCGTACTCAGTCAAATAAAAAATCATTTAAATGTAGTAAACTAGGAGACAAACATGTCATTCTCTTGAGGGAAGATTTTAAATTCAAGCAAGAATGTAATCAAGAATAATAGGGCTACAAACAACATATATAAAATTGAGAGACAATTTTAAATTCAAGCAAGAATGTAATCAAGAAATTAAAACATAAAAAATGGAGTAATAATAAG